CATTGTACAGCGGCATTAAGTGCCGAAATGTGCACCTCTGCCTACCCCTTGTTATGTTATGTTTGGTAATGAAAACTATTATTTCTAAGCACATAATTTATAAACCATTTAACCGATTTTAATAAAACTTGGGACTCATGCAACAATAAAGGCCAAAATTTTGACACCTTGATACACCTTGATGTTGCGTGTGAGTGACTTTGCCGATTGTACCTCACAATCGGCAAAGTTGGCGGTCGACCATCATAAAGCTATATTAGCGATATTATGCAATGGGCGCGAGCGACCACAAGGAAAACAAGATGGTGCAGTGGATTGAATAGCAAGTTTGCTTCAGGATTTTGTTTGAAAAGTGAACCCATCGTAAACTTTGCCGAAAGTAGGCCTACCAAGTTTCATTACAATCGGTTGAGTAGGTACCGTCAATACTAGTTGAGTTTCCATGATTCAGAAATTGATCATTTGTATGGAAATCTGCGCCGTGTAGAGGCTTTCAATCATTTTGTTTTAAATAATTAGTTATTAATTGAAAATTCTAAATATACTTACCTACCTAACTAAAAATTATGTGATTCTCGATTTAAGAAAATATGATAAGTACCTACCTAATTGAAATAAATTCAATTGTACAACTACTGAATATTTTTTATTTCAGCTTTAGATTTTAGAATCCAATGTGCATTTAAAAATAATAAACTACGGTTTATGATATAAAACCTTTATATTGTGCTTAAACGCCAAAAGTGAATATGAACTGAAAATTACATACAATAAAATAATTATTACTGAAAAAAAAACAAATTACAACCTGCTTACAAATCTAACTAAAATTAATAAGTAAATATCTATAGACTACGATCGATGTGATTTAGCGGCCGCTTTTTTGTTCGTTCGTTTTCATTGTTGACTCGTCCAGATCCAGACTTCTGGTGGTTCTGTTCATGAGATTCGTTTATTCACCATTAGGCTAAATATACCTTACGTACTACTTAAAATAATAAATGTAAAATTCCAATTGTTATTAATCTTCAGGTGGCGTGTAATCAGGTACAACTTGCAATACTTTCTCTCGCCATCTTGCTTTCCGTGCTTCCTGTTCCCTTTTCAGTGCATTCAAAGCTGGTAGCGTTCTCCAACACGTAAATGTTCTAAAGAGAAGGTTGCTACAACAAAAAAGAATCGCAAATCACGTGTTTACTTAAAATAACATAGCCTACTTATGTAGCCAGTCAGTGTCAACCCAGGACCGGTGCTCATAATTATTTAGGCACTTTAACTCGTCGAGTACCGGTTTTGTAGACACAATTATAGAACAATAGGTTGCGGTCACCGGTGACAGCTTGGTGTTTGACAGTTTAAAAGTGCTTCTGACTCTGTATTTACAAATAGATATATCTTACGCGAAAATTATTAGGTATAAAAACTTACCTGCTGTGATATAAAACAGCTATTTGCCATTTAATCTCATTTTCCTTTCTAATCACATTTATTCCTTCACGGAACATCCTGAATGCCATCTGTGTTAGATACAAATCGTAATAGTCATCAGCCACTTGTTTTTTCAAAACGAGCCCATGATGATTCTGAATTAATAAAATAAGTTTATCAATCAAAAATACAAATATGATATAATAATACAAACTTCATTGGACCTACATTATAAAGGGCTTCACACAGCAGCTATAATGTATAGGTATTAATGTACATTACATCCCGGATCTTAACGTGTTGAAAGATCCTCATGAAGTCCTTTTCCCAACAAAGAACATATAGATCCTTTTTTTTTCCTTTCGACAAAGGTAAGGGAAGGGTAGGAGTAGGAATACCGATTATACCGAAGCACTTAGGTACTTACCTATCTTCTTTCCTAACCAACAACCTGCATATCAACTACAACACAACGGTCGTACCTATAATAGTAAATATGATACTAACCCTTTTAAAGGCTTCAAATGCTTTTTCTAACAGTTTTTTACGCCAATAGTTTTCTGCTTTGAAATTTCTTTCTATCCACATATCTTCAGTATACCACAACCAATGCAAAAATGTGTTATTTTTAAGTTGAAAAATGTAATGGGCCTTTGCTTTTTCTATGTTGTCCCGCTTCATTTCTATCAGTATCCGGAAAGGCCGAATTCCATATTTTGCTTTCAAAGTTTTCTCGTAATGTAAATCTGCCATAACTATGAGAGCTCTCAGTCTAGATGCCCATTGTTTCTTTCTAATGTGTTCTATTTTTTCTTTTCTCCTTTTATCTCTCAGTTCTTGTATTCTTTTCATCTTTTCTTCTTTATCCATTTCTGCTTTTGCAAGTTCCGCCTAAAACCAATTTATTAGTTCCTTGCTTTCACGGTCTAACTCGGGTGAATAATGTTACAAAACTAGATCAAACACAAAAATTACCTGCTGCTTCATTCTAATCCTTTCTTCTTCCATTTGTCGTCTTCGCTCACGAATCATTGCATGCTTTTCTTCACGCTCACGAGCTCTCTTCTCCATCCTTTGTAAAAACTGTGGTACCTTCAAACAGTGTAATATAAGCGAGGGTTCTGAAAATAAATATGATTTAGGTATATAAACAATAATAAGTATCATGAAATACTTGTCATCATCAATATTAACGTAAGTAGTTGATTGAAGGTGTCTGACCTTCAATTTCTGGAATCTTTAACTCGTTAGTCAAGCACTTTATCTTTGGTTTAAGATGCCTGTCTATTTCATAATACGTTTTACGTACTTCTTCTCTCATATCATCCACAGACTTGCGTGATGCTTCTACGATCCTATTATACTTCAGTTCCTCAATTAAACGATTCTGTTCTTCTAATTTTGCCTTTTGTAAAGCTATGATATGCTTTTGTAATTTGTACCTAAAAATTAAATTAACTCAGTTTCAGGGTGTTCGCAAACTAAACATGTTTAGACGAAAATTTAAATTATAATAACAAATCGTACAGTTTAAAACTCGTCGAGTACCGTCATTATAGACACAATTATAGAACAATAGGTTGCGGTCACCGGTGACCGCTTGGTGTTTGACAGTTTAATTTAGGAATAAGCTAAGTACCTATCTACCTTTGTAGGTAGTAGTAGTTTATTACTCACCGATGTTGATACGTGTTATAATCCCTTAACAAAATTTTGGATTTATTTTCAGCTTCAGCACATTGATTTATTGCCATCTTTTTCTTTGCAATTTTCTCAAAGAAATTGTTTAAAGTTTCTTGCCTCTGTTCAGAGACATACTTTTCCCTGTTATTTTTTGCATAACTTTTCCACTTACTAATATATTTTTTCATTAGGTACGTTTCCTTGCTGCCAATTTGTACCCTCATTGGGGTTATACTTAATATGTTATCAATTCCCTCCGAGCATACAGATCTTTTATCAGTAATATCAACGTTTGAATGTATTTCGCTTTTTGGAGTGTCAACTTCATTACTAACTTCGACTTCCTCATGGTGATCTTCGACTTCATTTGGTTTTGAAGAAATAGCCATCATTATCAATAGATTTTGCAATTCACTAACTGGCACATCTAAATTGTTAGATATAATATTTCGCTGTGAATCTTGTTTCATAGCTGGTTGTTCTGTATGTATATCGTAATCTAAATTATGTGGGCTATGAGATTTATTCTTGCATTCTACACGAAAAATATCTTCATTGTTTTCATTTATATCTTTAGGTAGATCTAATAAACCACTATTGCGGTTTTTCGGTTTCCGATAGCACTGAGTTTCTCGATATATCTTTATGTGTTTAAGAGGTTTTATCTTAGGATTAATTTTAAATTCATTATCATTGCGTATTTCCAATTCAGTAAATTCTTCAGTAAGTTCATTTATGCAGAAATTATCATCGGCTTGGTGCAAATTTAGACTTTTATCAAATATGGAGGGATCATCGTTGTTAACCGTTGATTTTAATTTCAAAGGCTCAAGGCCTTTTAAGGTTACTCTATTTTTTAAATCAATGTTATTGAATTCGTTTCGTATTTTCACAATTTCTTTGTGAATTGCAAAGCTTTCTTTTGTCCTTATAGATTTCCTTAAATATACAATTTCATTTTTATGATAACCTGACACGAAACGCTCAAATCAATAGACAAAGAATAATAAAAGCTTTAAATGCTCTCAAGACATAACAGTTACATTTATAATCCAATAAAAATCATACCTAATGTAGAAAATCTGCAAGAACCTAGAATTCGGTTAAAGAATTTTATTAGCTACCTACTTTTGATTAATTCTTGGGTTTTAAATTAATTGGAGACAAATAAAAAAAATACACACAAAGAATGCCTAGGCAATATTATTGTTTATATTAAGCTGTTACCTTGTAAAATTGGTGTTTTTAAGAATACCATGGTTGTGACTGTCTTTAGCCTGTAAAAAACATTCATTATTGGTACAAGTAGGTAGGTACCTAGGTACTTATCGAATGTAAACGCATGTTCCACATTGGATGATAGGGATATAGGTACCTACATAGGTGTGACTGATCCGTTGCTCGAACAGAAATGGCCGCAAGGTCGGGTATTCAATTCGGAAAGTTAGGATCGGGCAAAGATGTTTTTTTTTTATTTCATCTTAGCGATCATAGAATGCGGGTAATGAGTTTATATAATGACTATCATTCCACATGGGAATACTTAGTAACACTAAAGGCATAAAATTAAGATTATCCTGTGACCTTTTTGTAAGGATTGAATGTTATATTGTTATCTATAAACATTAGAGACTTTCTTAATTATAGATAATGTTTACTTACCAGAGTTCTTCTCATCTGCATCCGTAATACGAAATTTCGAGGTTTATAGTCCGGTGAAAGTTTATCCAAGTCACTTTCGTTGAAAATATCTTTGTTTAGAAAATTCTCCATAATTTTATATCAATTTTCATGTTAACATTAGGAAAGACACAAGAATTATTATACTTTTGTATATTATTAAATCGATCTTACGGTTGCTAAGAAAATATCGATAAAATAACAAAACGTAGTTCAATGCAGCGTTCCATTACACTACAATGTTTTGATGACTTGCCCATCCAACACGAATCCTTGAACCAATCGATGATTATTATAAGTGACATCTAAAGAATTCAATTAGATTAAAAAATTAGTCTCTCTAACGAGTACTTTAATCTAATATCAGTTAATTATTATACGAAACTGCTTGTAGACACTGGTAAACATAGCATAATCAAAACAATGACGTTTTGTCTGCCAACAGCAGTCGTGTCACTGTCACGAAATGAATGTCATTTATCATTTGATGTTGTCTAATGTCTATGTTTACGAAAAAAACGAATTTGAAGAAAACTTTGTGTTCATATTACTATAATATGAAATGTATTTACCTCTTTACAATGAGTCAGAAAAGAAAATCTACCACTACATCAAAATCCCGTCGAAATTGTGCTATTATGTGGTGTCAGTGCCATTATTTGCCTTTATAGCTTGTGTTGTAATAACAATGTACAAGGACTTCGAAAACGCAAACAATACTCATTGCAAGGTTCCCAACGTCTTCCCATCAATATCAGCGTCTATTGGAAATTATGAACCACAAAGTACAATATGGAAAACAGCTATTTACATACATGCACCTATGCGATTCTACATGCTGTATTTACGATGGAAATATTACAGAAGTGTTGTGCTAGAGAGCTGTGTTGTTATAGCCAAATTAGCAGTATTTTTAAATATCATAGAAAATTTTGCCTTATTAGGACTAACGCATTGGACGTCGTCCAAAAATTATCGTAAGTACTTGTCTGTATAATTTATGTAAACATCTAAGATGTGGTATTAAGAAGAAATGTATAGTATGTATATTATGTATTATATATTATTTACATATTGTATGTATATGTTGGACCTATATGTATAAATAGGTACTTATTTATATTTATTTTGTATGTTTTTATTGTATTATTTTGGTTAGTCTAATTTTAATTATCAGTTTAAGTTTTCATTGTCTTCTTCTTGTTTGTTTTTTTTTTTTTTTGTTGTTACACACTGTGTCATATGTTGTATTTATTTCTCCTTTCGCAGGGCTGCAGGAAGAAATCCCATAAGGGATATGCAGTACCTATGTACCTGTTTTGTTATAATATATATATTTTTTTCTGTGTATTGTCTGTGTTGTGTACATGAACAAATAAATAAATAAGAAATTAATATTTCAATTTCTCTTTTCAGCTTATCATGAAGTTTGTTTTAAAACATTCATTGGGGCCTCGGTATTTTATATGCTGTTCACATGCATAATGCTTTCAAAGTTACGAAGAAGGCCAAATATTACATACAGAGAAAAGCATTCTGTGAAATTAAAATGGAGAGCTTTTATTGTGAACATTACTTCATTTGCATCTGCTGCTTACTTCTTTCTGAGACATAATAGGCTATGTGAACCTTATGGTAAGTAAATCTATTTGTATGAATATGAAGTTAAGCAAAGCTTGAGAATTTTGAAACCCTTGATAATACTTTGCATGATGTGGTTGAACTTAACATTCCCTCTGGATCAAGGGTTCTTACTTATTACCAATCTTATTAATAAAATAATACTTATTAACCTTATGACCGCCACGGTTGGCTATAGCTGACAAACTAAATTAACCCGACATTACTGACATAATGAGCTGACCATCGCGTTAAAGGGTTAATATTACTAGTTTCCTTAGAAAAATGAATAAAGAACTCACAAATCCAAAATTCATAAAATGTTTTTTTTTATTTTCAGTATATTCTATGTTTGGTCTAGCAGAGTACATAGTGGTGTTCAGCAATATACTGTTCCATTCAACAACTGTGTACGATCTACAAATTAATTTTATTTGTTTGACTAATCGAGGGATTGTTGTTGAATAAAAAATCATGCCTTCCAAACAAAGCCAAATGTATATTCAAATTTGTTCAAAAGACAGTGGACAGAAATGTATCTTAATTCAAAAATAACTATTATGTAATATATTTGATAGTTAATAGATAGCTAAACTGCTAGTTAGTGACTGTAATTTAGCACCCAAAGTTACACATTTATTTATTTTACATTATTAATAATTTAATTATTTATAGTTTGACTTATATAAATATTTATTAATATAAGATTGAAATTATGTAAGAATTTTTTTTAATAAATACTTTTCAGATCACAAAATAACAATTTAATTTTTATAGCAAATCTTCCTCTAATAAACGCTTTAATATTTACATAAAAAAGTCTTTAGCAATAAATCTTAAAAACATTCTTACATCTAAGGCTTTAAAATAGTTTCTGTGGTTAAAAACTTATAAAATATTATATTGATTAGCATCATTTTAAAACTTTCCCTTTCTATTTATTAAAATACAATTTTTAGTATCAAGTTGTTGAAAGTATGCGTAGGACATTACTATAAGCCAAAAAAATGTGATACTGGATGATAAACAATCATTTTCATTAATAACAAGGAAAGAAATAGCTTTTTATGTACAGACCTGTGTCTTCTGATAATGTTTTCATATTTGAAACTTGTTGTAAGTTAAATTATTGTACTTGGTAACCAGACTATCTAATGGCAGTATAATATTGATGTTAGACAATTTAGGCACTATAAAAATGTTGCTCTAAATAAGGGGTCATCCATAAATTACGTCACCTAAATTTAATTTTTTTGCCCCTCTCTCCGCCCTTGCCACAGCTAGTCACATTTGTGAGAAAGTGTGACGTCACATTTTGCAGAATTCCGTTTGTATAAAAATGAAAACTGGACCCGAAATCAGTTCTATTTCTATAAATCAATTATATTTCGTGTTTTACAATAGTTTTTGAAATGTGACATCACAAAGTTCAGGTTCAGTTCCCTCCCTCCCCCTTGTCACACAATGTCACACTTCTTTGACCCCCTCCCTACCGCTTAACGTGTGACGTAATTTATGGACGGCCCCTAAGGGTATTACAATATTAATAGTATTAACACATTAATAATTATGTTTTCGGCATATTCACGTAACTGTTTGACGAGGAACTCGACTAGGCTGTGCCCGCACCGCAGTAGACACGAGTAGCCAATAGCAGCGCGACAGTCGCCGCGTCACGTGTCGCAAAATGCTGCTTATAAATATGAGCCTCCTAGTAAACAGTTACGCGAGTAATCCGAAAACATAATAATTAATTTAGTGTCTCACGAAAGTTTTAATATAAGCATTACATAATTAGATAGAGTAGTTGAATAATCAATATTAGGTATTATTTATTCTCAACATGCTAATGCAACTTTTGGATTTTATTAGCACAATAGTTTACAAGACATTTTATTTCCCTTCCTTAAGGTGTACTTTAAGGAAGGAAAAAATAAATCTTTCGGCTAACACTGCTTTCATGTACATATTTCTACATTTATTTATTACGATGTTTATGAATACACTATCTGTCATTTATATCTCAGTTTTTAAACTTAAACTCACTTTCCATCTTATCAGCAATCATTTTCGCGATAGCGAGCGATGAAGTGGCTCCAGGTGAAGGTGCATTTCTGCAATGTAAAACTCGACTTCCTATCGCACCAGAACCAGGTTGTGAATCAAACACAAAATCCTCTATTAAACTTCCTGAAAAAGTAAAAAAACAATAGTGCAATAATGTTCTTGGTAATTACTATTTTTTTGGTTGGGGTTTTTTAGGTAGGCCCTTTTTAAGCCAATATTTACCATCATCCTTTTGTGTTTAACCTACCAACAATTTTACTTATCCACTTGTAGGTGATTATGCCTTATAAAGGGTTAACAGCAGTCACACAATAAAGCATACCAATTACAAAGTATGTATTTACAAATAATTTATTACCATCTTTAGCCATTGCTTGTGCTCGTACACCAGCAGGACCTCTCTCCACATCAGCAGATGTAATCTCCTGAATGTATTTTTGCACTTGTTTTACTTGCAATGAAGGAAATATTGATCTTGTTAATTCTTTAACTCCAAAAGTTGCATATTTCATTGCTAGTTTCCGAAAACCAGAAAATGCTAAAATATCTTTCAAGTCTTTCATATTCACGTCACTATATCTGTAAATAAAGAACAAAATGTTTGACTTTGGTAAATATAAGGTAACCTTTAAATGCCCTTTGATAAAAAGTGTGCCATTATTATTGCATAACATTTTATCTTAATTGTCCATGTTTATTTGGTAAAAAATCTTTAACCAGTACTAATTTGCTGTACAGTACAATCTGTACAATGATACTCTAAATTCACGATTTACATAATTGTTTTAACTACGAGTTATAAATATCTATATCTGTTAATATAAAAATATTTTGATATTTTCTAAGTGTATGTTAACAGCAAAACATAGAAGATATGTTTCGATAGGATTATTGTATCTTTTTACAAACTTTTTAATTTTATATGATTTCGTTTTCAGTATTGTTTTATGTATTATTCCATTCCATAGGTTTACAGGAAAAAAGTAGATGAAAATACTTACTTATATCCTTCTTTACAATAAGCTAATATTGCATTTGGACCCAAAATTACACGACCATCTATTCTGGGAGTTATATGGACACCAAGAAAAGGAAATCTTGGGTCAGGTACAGGGTAAATGTTAGCTTTAGCCAAGTTACTTTTGCTTGGGACTAGATATAAATATTCACCTCTAAAAGGTATAATTTTAGGCTCTTCAGGACATCCAGTTAAAACTGCTACTGTATCGGAATGTAGACCACAGCATGTGAGGACATACTTTGCAGAAATGTTATTAGATTGGTTATCTGATATAACAACAGGGTATTCTGCATTTTCAGATTCTGAGAACCTCTTTACTTCAAAGTTTAGATTAGTTGTGCCACCACATTTTTTGAAGTCATCTACATAAGATTCTGTAACCTCTGCCCAACTCACAACTCCAGTATTGGGAGACCATATTGCTTGTAACCCCTTACAGAGAGGTTCAATTTGTCTTATTTCATTTCCTTCTAGTAGCTGCAAATCTTTTACACCATTTTGTATTCCTCGATCATACAAATCTAATAATACAGGTATCTCATGCCTTTCAGTGGCCACTATCAGTTTGCCACATTTTAAATATTTTATATTTTTTTCATCACAGTATTTATAAGCTAATTCCATGCCTTGTACACATAATTTAGCTTTCAATGATCCAGGCTTGTAATAAATACCAGCATGAATCACACCACTGTTATTTCCACTCTGATGGTAGGCAAAATGGTCTTCCTTCTCAACTAATGCAATATTTAATGATGGATGCCTCAGACTGAGTTCTCTCGCAGACGCAGCACCAACAATACCACCACCAATTACGACAATATCAAACTTTTTAGAAGTATCACATGAATACCTGAAAAATACAAATGAAAAATACCTGATAAATACCTGTATTAGGTAATTAAAATATTTGTGAAACATTATCCTTTTAACAAATGAAAATGCAATAAACATTTTAGTACATTATGGAAATAGGACTTACCAGCGGTATGCTGCAGTGTTAGACGTAACGGACATAAAACTCCGGGCGACAGTACCGGTAATAGATGTAGCACATTTTATTGCTATCATTTTGTATTGTTATATTACAGTACAACTTAACTCTTATCTAATAAACGAAATTTATTGGTACCTTATGAAGTTAAGCATAAAATTAACAAGAATAAAATATACTCAAGAGTATTCAAAACACCGAAACTTAATTTATAGAAACTTTCGTACAGTATTCACTAAAAAACATGGAGTAATTAAGTGTTAAAAAGTTATTAAATATAAATAATCAAAACCAATAACATTCTACGTAAGTAACCCACAGTACCTCGAACAAGGCACTAATTTTATCACAATATCTATAAAACGTAAATACAGTTTGACCGTCACTGATAAGTCAAAGATTCAATAATAATCACAGTCACAGACTCACTGTTGTTTCACTCTCAACTCAAACTCAAATGACAGTGACAAGACAACAAGTAAAATCTACTGAGGTAGAATGACAGAATGTTGACATTTTTTTCATACAATATATGGAAAGGAAAAAAATATGTACAACTTAACAGACACAAATTAATGGAAAAAAAATAAATAAAAGAAAACCAAAAATGACTGTTTACAGAGTGCATTACAAAATTCGTCCGCATCGACGTCAATTGGGAAAGCACCCAGAGGGCTGGCATTGCCATGTATGGCAATCAAAGAGTATAATAAGTATAGGGGAACTCTGGCAGTAACAAACCAGCCCTCTGGTCTGGAGATGAAATATTTTCAGCCCTCTGGTCTCGAGATGAAATATTTTTAAATAAAGTATGGGCACTCGGACCCCACGGACCTCTAACGTATCAAACCCAAAAGGCTCAAAGATATAATTATATGCAAGGTATATTTGCGCCGCTTGAGGTTTTTTGCAGTGGCAGCAGCCGAACCAGCACGACACGCCGTTACTAGAAAATGAAAAGGTGCAAGGGTGTTGAAACGCAGGTTGGGTCTCATATCAAAGACCTTCCCAACTTCCAAGGCATGATGGACATACCATCAGGTCTCTTACCATCGTTGCGCGCCAAGCCCTTTATTTCGCCGAGCTCGATGGATAAAGTGGTTAATGCTGGCGTATTGGGCTATCCAGCCTGTACTTATAGGCCGTGGTGACCGAGGTAGTCGACCTTCACACCGCATTGTCAGCGATGCGGAGTAGTGATGTGCCAACTCGGAAAAAACAAAACTCGATTTAACTCGAGTTAAAATCCACGTAACCCGGTTTGAACTCGAATTACGTAACTCGAGTTAACTGAAGGGACCAGTGAATGTTTTTTTGAGTGTTTTCCTTATTATTCCCTCAGCTTGGCATAAATACTTTAAAAAATTGGAACAGACAAATTATATTATTATCTGTTTCAATTCTATATTTTTTATATTATTTATTTATAATGTATTGGGAGAGTTATACCTACTAACTAAAGAAACAAAAAAGTTATTGTTTGAAATCGAATCATTTATTTAAGTATTTTTGGCTCGAATTTTAATTAAAAATAATATTTACTATCAGTTAAACTATGAAATTATATAGCAGTCTTTTTAAAATAAAATCAGACTAACATTATGATGCAAGTATGTACATAGGTACATTTACAGGCTCATAATTGTTTTATAATCAGTAATCACAATATTTTAAAAGAAAATAAAATAATTAGTATCACAAACAATATTTTTTCCTTAGTTAAATTATATATTATATTTTTTCCATTCGGTTTTCGAACTCGAGTTAGAGAGAATTCAACTCGAGTGGATTCGAGTTACGTCCAACTCGAGTTGACTCGAGTTAGGTACTCGAGTTAACCATCACTAATGCGGAGTAGCACAGGGTGCACCTAGACGCAATCAAGCAGCAAGTCGAAAAGTTGAGTCATTCAACATCGTGCTAATATTGACTGTCGGAAGTGCCTGAAGCCAGAGGCCTGATTCCCACTCACCACTCACAGCCAATAGGCGAGCTAGCTCCATGAGATTAGTGCGCGTATTTATGAAATTATTATGCACCAAACTGCTAAGCGGCTCATCCTATTGTGTCTGGGAGAATGGGTTGACAGGCAAGGCTATATTGGGACATTTTGAATCCAGACGATCATTGCGTCGCGTCGGTCAGACACTGCACTTCGGGTTTAGGGGTAACACGAGCTAAGATTTTTTTAGTTAAGGTTCTGGTGCTGCTGTGGACAGAAGAGAATATCGCCGGTAAACTTACATTGGAAATTTTGCGGACGCCTAGACCACTGACCAAAAGGAATTGGTAGCGTGGCTTGAAGCCAAACACGATCGTCCTTAGGTGCATTCAAAAGTTAGATAAAGTTGTTAGTATCACGAATAATTTGATCAACTTGATCCAGAATGTGCGGATACTTCCACAAAGAGAAGCACGCAGAAAGGACATAAATTTTGGGTCGAAATAGCAATATCGAATTAAAGTGAAAGCGCAATGTAGATTAATTTTTGACATTTTAAATTTGTAAAGAGCAAAATGGTTTGAATACAATACTTTTCAGCCAGTCTTATTATCTATATTTCTCGAAGTGGCAAATAGAAATTGACATGGAATCTATAAATTATTTACGGGAAACAAATGGTCTTCATGTTTTGCTATAATGAAAATGCACTTAAAAATAAATACTATTGTGATCTTGCAGTTTTTTGCAGATTTTTGTTCATGATTGGCAACTCTGGGATTTTAAAAAAGTCAATGCCCAATTGCCAGTTGCCTCGTAAAACATCAGCTGTGAGCTGTCAAACTATGTCAATCATCAAATCAAGACCAAGTCAAAACAAAAACAAACTTATTGTTATTTCATTTTTTGTTTTCATTAAGTTTGCGAATAAAACATTAGTGTATTTGTTTATCACTTAGTTACTTATTGCATTTAACGCAATGTCTAAAGATCAGTTTTGTTTTAGTTGGGTATCTTACAAAAATCATATTTCGCAAGGATTTGCACGTTTACAACAAGTAATTACGCGCATAAAATTCATAATTTTTTTTCTTCTTTTCATTTACGATTCCATGATAATTTTGGTGTGTTGCAGGTGGGCGAGTTTGTTGATATGACCCTTGCAGCTGACGGTCATTTAGTAAAAGTTCATCGAAATATTGTGGCACTTGCCAGCCCTTACATAAAGGCAATGATAGAATCTGCTGCATGTCAACATCCAGTTGTGTTTCTAAATGTAATTGACAAAACAAATTATTTTATTTACATTTACTGTACAGTAGTGTATTGTAATGAAATTAATTCTATCCTTTTTTTCAGAACATAAATCACAGTATACTTTCTTTCATACTGGAATATATATATACAGGGGAAGTGAAGATACCGACTGATGCTACACCAGCTTTTATACAAGCCTGCAAAGCATTATGTATTAATGGTATTGAAAATATAGAGTTACCTCAGGTGCGTAACTATTTCTAAAATAACTGTAATAATTTCTTTTATTTTCATATAATAGACTGACTGAATAAAAAAGTAACCTCTATAAATATTTTAGAAACAACCATCTGATCCGCTACCATCAGAGTTGCTGCCACCTAGCCAGCCCCCCCCACCTTTGGGTTCTGTTTTACCACCACCATTACACAATTCTTTGGATTTACCACCAGAAAGGTAAACAATCAGTAATTCTTTATTTATTTGATTCTTTATGTTAAATATCACAGTTAACTTCATATACTTGCATTACATTACGTACCTTTTCAGACCTATAGTACCACCAGACAATAATTTTGCAGCTCACATAACAATTAGCAGTGAAAACAATGTCGAAGTCATACCAGCTGACAATACTATTGTCCAAGAAAGTACACAGCCTTTCTATTCTCTTGGTGACATCAATCTGATGAATTTTCCAACATTGAAAAGTTCTACTGCAAGCGACAATCTAAATAATGCACAAGTTGCTCCACTTCCTGAAATGAATATTATAGAAACTGATTTTGAATATATTGATGCTCCGGTATCTAATATAGAAGAGAACAATACAGAAATCACAAATAGTAATTACTTTAACATAGCTCCAAATGATCCTATTACGGTTTTTAATTTAGCCCCATGTAATCCACCACCACTACCACCTCATACTAAAGTTAACCAAGGAGCTCCTGTGACTAAAGTCACCCATGAATCTATTCTAGGCAATAAAGGTAATACAATGTTGTTTGACTTGTTAAGAAGACATGTGTGACTTCTTGAATGTTGAATTTAAATTATAATTATGTGAATTTGTTTTTTTTTTAGCTCATGGTCTGCATTACTCTATTTCTAAACGTGGGTCATTGCAATTAATATTGAACCAGTTTATGTACCACTGTCATCATCATGCATCTAATGGTCTTAAGCGCCGTTGGCGATGTGTGGACTACCGAAAACTACATTGTCCAGCATATATAGATACAAATAATGACATCATTTACACCAGGTAATTACATACTTATTAGAGATGATTTGAAACAGGTTTCTTATTCAATGCGATATTGTACAGAAATAATAAAAAAATATTTCTTTCAGATCTGAACACCATAATCATGGCCACCATAAGACTCAAATTATGAGAAAATTAAAATCAAATTGCTTATTTACTTCCATAACCCAAGCTACAAATAGAATGATTACCAAACAAAAACCTAAAGATAAACCCAAAAAGTTTGTTAGAAATTCTAATACCTCTCGTGGAGCTAACCAAATAATCAAAGTTACTCTGCCTAAAACCTAAGTAATTTTATTCTGAAATACAAAATTATAATTTTTCGTGTTTTTAATTTTTGTCTCCCATTCTGACAATTGTGGTGGCGAGTACCCGCTTGTATTACCTACAATATAACTGATTATGAAACGAAATTAAATAGCTGGTTCTCATTACGGTTTGAATATCAATGCAACGATAATCAAGCTCCGTACCTATATTAAGTTCAGGCAGTTCAGTCATAACAAAGAGGAACAATATTGCGATTCCTCGTGAATGCTTAGTGCTATCTTTTCAAACGGTCTCCTCTCTTTCTTTGCCCTATCAAAGACTAAATATTTTGCAATTATCTATTCCCAATTTCTTTATAAGGGAACCAGGTAGAAACTTTCAAAAATATTTATTATAGGTATGTGCCATCTATTTTTTGTTTAATGTTTTAGAAAAGATCTGTGGGTGAGTTTATTTCAATGACAAGACTAAAAACGGACTTTTCTTAATTACCTAATCTATATCTATACTAATATTATAAAGAGGTAAGATTTGTAGGTACCTATTTTTGTATGTTTGCAATGAATAGGCTTAAAAAGTACTGGGCCGATTTATAAAAATCTTTCACCAATAGAATGCTACATTCTTCCAATTTGAAAATAGGGATCCTTGGTAAAATTTCAACAATGTAACCGAAGGTGTAGATAAATAAGTCTTAAAATGTCTTTCGTCGAATGCGCTGCCGAAACTATTAGCGATAGAACAAAATAATGTAAAACAATATTGAAGAACATCATAATGTCTACAAAAATCTCCGCGGTTGCATGTATCCAACTATTGTAGTTATGTCACTACAATAATCAGTTTCCAAAAATAAATAATTGTCTACCCCGTGCGAAGCCGGGACGGACTGCTAGTGTACTATACAAACAACGGAGCGGAGGGCGGAGTCTACGCCATGTTTGTTTCCATTTTGGCTCGCTATGTACACAGTTCATAATTATGAACATATTATGTTCATATCCTCTTACTTCTTTAGTCATTGGTTTATTTCTTATTTGACATTGTCACTGTCAAATATCTAGTGTGCATCTTGGTGTAAACGGAAAACTTTATTATCAATGAAGTATCTTTTAATGTTTTATTTCGTTTGTTGATTTGTTTTAATAGTTTTAAATATTACTGCGACTATTTCAACAATTTATCTGAAATGGTTCAGTCACAGTTCTCGTTGTCATGGGATTCTTATAAATCCAATATTTGTAATGGATTTAGTGCTTTGCAGCAGGTAAAATGATATTGTTTACCATTTTGGTTGATTTTTGTCATATTTTGATTTGATTTTTACTTTAATTTAGGTTTGTTTAATCTACTTAAATACGGTTAGATTTTAGTACAGGGCACTGGAGAACTTTAACCATATATGGTATGGATATTGTGTGTGGTTGATTTGTTTTGTTTTAGAATAACAATGGAGTATTGATTGTGTTTCAGAATGGTGAGTTTGTGGACATGACGATAGCTGCAGATGGGCATTTAGTTAAAGTTCATCAAGTGCTGGTAGCATTAGCTAGCCCTTATCTGAAGGACCTTATATCTTCAGCGCCTTGTCAACATCCTGTTATATTCCTTAATGTAAGAATATAACTCAGTAAAAAAGTATATAAGTTATAGTTATAGATATAGTTATAGAGTTTATTTGTTACCTAAACCAATATGAATAAAAAAAACATCAGTATTATTTGGTTCTCTTGGATATTGTATATAATTGGATATAATATATATTGCACTTCAAAAAGATTCAATTTATTCATATCGAGGGGTAACGGACTATTTGGTTTAAGCGACATTTTGGGCGATTTTGAGTTATTATATATATTCGACGGAGAAAAAATCGCTGATTCCGAATATATATATAACTCAATATCGCCCAAAATGTCGCTTAAACCAAATAGTCCGTTACCCCTCGATATAGTTTGTGTATGCATAAGCAATAATATTCATTAGCAAATATTACAAATACACTTGCATTTCCTAAAATAAAACTAGTAATAAGAATAATTGATTTTAACATTTTAATATTTCTTTTCAGAATGTTTCACATCGCACCCTGTGTTTGCTGCTGGAGTATATCTACACAGGTGAGGTTGTGGTACCAGCTGATTGCCTGAACATGTTTGTGGAAGCTGCCAAGTCTCTACACATTAGAGGATTAGAAAATATTGTAAGTATTGTTTTACTACAAACATGGCATTACATACAAACTAACATTACATCATTGGACTTTAAAATGGATCACATGAACAGTAACAGTTATATTCAATTTTTTTTATTTAAAATACATCTTATTACCCCCCTAAGAGGCCAGTATATTGCAACACATAATAATGCTGTATTCCATGGTATTACTGAAAATCTAATCGTTTTTTTAATCTATAATCTAACAATTATTCATAATCTTTTTAGAACACGCAACTTTTATGTTTATTTAATTCATCTTTCATATGTTACAGAGTTCACCACAAACCCTGCCTACGAAACTGACAGCAAGTCTGCCACAACTTGATGACAGCGAGATATGTCATGTTAGTGGTATCAAGAGATTAAGTGTTCCGCCAACAGAGAGTATAGCACAGGTAGAATTCATTTTAAAGCTCTCCTAGGAATGAGGCCAAATGAGACATTGCAAATATCAATGAAACCTCAGAGCACATGATGAACATAAATAAATTAATCATAAAGTATTTTTTTTAAACGTTACGTTGTACAAGTTCACATATGACACCCAGACCCGAAACAACAATTTGTGGATCACACAAAGTGTTGTCTCGTGCGGGAATCGAGAACTCGCGACACGTTGCACGGCAGCCAGTTGCCCAGCCACCGCACCAACCGTGCAGTCAAAAATTGAGTTTTGCAATTGCCATATGATACAGTTTTCACTTTTAGTAAAAGTTTTGCGGGCTTGTCGTCGTAAAACTAGTAGGTAGTGTCTTTGAAGTAAAACATTTTATGCACAGAAAGCTTTGTTTTTATAATAACTATCGTGTTTAGTTTATTTACATAAAGCTTGTCTGGTGTCTGATCATGCTCTATTCCTAGTCTTGATTCAGGTCGTACAGTTGCGAGAGTACTCAGAATTAATTTGAAAGTAGGTGTCAGATTCTAGTTTTATTTAAATAGTGAACACAATATTTCCTACATTAAACTATGAATGTTTTCCAGGTTATTTTGCCATCATCAGCAAGAAAGGTGTTTTTAAAACAGGAGTCTATGTGAGTATGAATGTCGACTGTTTCATTTTGGATAATTGTTGAATTACTCTTTGTGAGATCCAAGATTGTGATTCCGGGTCTGGGTGCCATGTTTATGTGTAATCATATGTTTAGAAATGCACCCATACCATAAAAAGTAATAGAGCGGGGTAACATTTTAAAAAAATCCTTTTAAATCTCAGTTAGGCACTGAGATTTGAAAGTATTTTTTGCACGTAATTTGGATAATGTTGCTGTAGGCACTTTTGCACTAACTAGACTGCAATCACTGCCTAGTGCCTACCGCTTGGCGGGTGTCTTCTCGTTAGACATAACCGGGGAATTGTCGGTTCAAAATTGATTGTACGCTTTTCTTCATCTATCTGTAGGGTGAAATATGCTACGTCACGTCGCGTTCTGCGCGCGCCTCAAAGAGCCATCACGTCACCACAGATGGGGCCCAGTAGGAGGACTTAACGGCTCCGGCGCTCTGGCTCAAAGAGCAGACTGATGTAGGAACGGGGTAGTTTTTAGTCTGACACTCCCTTTTGCTTCACCCAAGGCGGGAGAAAAGGGATCATTTTCCACTCTCAAAAAAAAAAATGCTATTGGTACCCAATATATTAATGCCGTGCGTGTAATACACAGGGTACACAAAGACACATCTAATGTGTCTCTACATGCTATGTCAATGCCAATCTCCAGTCAGCAAGATCAACACGGCCACCATGACTACAGCGACTTAATGGACGACACAGCAGTGCACGATGACGACCACGATAATAATATGGACTTTAAAATGCATGAAACTAAACAAAATGTTCAAGAAAGGAAGGATTCACGTAAGACCATGTTTTTATTCTAGGGTGGTTTTTGGTGCTCAACTCATACAAGATTCGTATACAATAATTTTAAATGCACGCGCGAATGCGCAACTCGCGTGCGGCTCACGAGCAGCGCATTCGCGGAACATTCACCAGATATAGACGCACCTCAAAAAAAATTTGCAAAACCAATCCTTATATAGGAACGTACCTATATTTCTTTATTTCGTATATAAACTGTTTCCACATAGATGTAAATATATCCTTGTGTTCAGCAGTGGGTACTGGCTGGTGATGGTGATGATGATGTGATGTGTTGTAATGATTACTAATAGGTTAAAATACATTGAATAACTTGACTCTTAATAAAATGATCGAAGCCATAGACGTAGCGCAAATAACTACCAATTCTGCAAATGGTTTAATAATTTGGAGGTAACTTGTGTTCTGCAGGGGACTTCTCGTGGCGGATTATCTGTATTATTAAAATATAATCATAACTCTGTTACAGCATCGGGTTCAAACCTACAGTTCACGGTATCAATTCGAGGGTCATTGCAAGTAATACTAAACCGGTACATTTACAACCTGCACTCTAGCACGTCGAGGTCGGGACTGCGACGGTGGCGGTGTGTCGATTACAGAAACAACAAATGCACAGCGTTCTTGGTCACAAAAGGAAATGTCGTACTCAATAGGTAAGTCCTATTTAGTTGCAAGTTTTTCTTTTCATGTCATTGTGACTATGCCCATCTACTCACCGACAGAATCTTCAGTTTTAAGTGCACGCAATAACAGTGATATAACTTGCGAGAAATAACAGTAGACGATTGGTAAACTACGGCGAAAGACAGAAGGAATTGGAAACAACTGGAGGAAGCCTTCACCTGAGGAAAGGCCCACACTGTAGTGTAATACTATCCTAACTATAAAAAATCTAAAAAATTTAAATACAATTATATATTAACTTATGTTATTATTTAAGAGTACTGGG